CTGTATCATCACATCTGCCCACCAGGAGCTCCTAGATGCAGATACATTTCCTCTGCCAAAGTATAAGCCCCAGAGATTTACCCTACAAATTCAGTATGAACCAAGACTTGAAGAGCATAAACTATTTTTTATGTAAAGAAAAAAATCTTACATCCTTAAAGATGTTAGCAAAACAATATTATATATTTATTTTTCTAATAATAAAAAATCCATACTGTTGCTTGATCTGATCATATAAAATGAAAGAAATCAAGTTGAATCCCACCAAGAATATTAAAAGCACCAACATATTTATTTAAACTATGGTTTAAAGGAAAAAATACTCTTGCTATCGGATCAAACCATTTGAAACTGCTGATATCTGATCATTTGTACCTACAAAAATAGCAATCTCATATGGTTCAAACTAATAGAACCTTTTTCCTCAAATATGATGTTGCTTCGAGAATGACATAATGTGAAAATGCACATACATGGAAACAGAACAACATACACGGTGAAGTAGTCATCAAAATGGCCACAAACACAGAAACTTTATCTTAAATTCTTAGATATTTTTAAAAAGTTATTTTGTACAATGTTTTGTCCTAATTCAAGGTCAGCAAATTTTTTCTGTGAAGAGCTTGATAGTAAACATTTTAGGCTTTGTGGGCCATTCGGTCTCTGCTGCAACTACTTAACTCTGCCATTGTAGCACTAAAGTAGCCACATACGTAAATGAATGGGGGTGGCTGTGTTCCAATAAAACTTTATTTAAAATGCAGACATGGGCTGTAGTTTATTGATCCATATCCTAATTTATTAATCTTCCCAATATGTCATCCTTTCTATATTTCATAAATAACAGTTTTATCTATTATACAAATCATTATTCTATTAGGTAAAGTCCCATGTTTCCCATATTTCAAGTATTTATTCTGCAGGGAAAACATGGTCCAATATTTAGATATAGATACGTGTTTCATGACTCAAATTAGGCCTTCGATTATACAAAATAGTTTGTGAATTTGGTCCACATAGCTGGCACGCTGTAGGACATCAGCATCCTGAAGAAGTTCTGCTGTCAAGTTGGAGCATCACAATTCCCCACTACTGTTTTCTGCCATTAGCATCTTCCTTCCTTTTTAATATTTGTGGTGACTCAAAATAAGACAATGTTAGAATTAATGCATGGCAAAACCAGAGGTTGGAGCTAGGTTTGGGCCACATTAATACTGACTGAGGTGAAATATTTTCTTCTCACCACAGCAAGAGATGCATCTGCTGGTGCTGAGTAACTTATTGGCCCACTTCCTACACAGAAGCTCAGAGATCTCAGCATTTTCTTGCCAAGGGGTGTCTGGAGTGAAGCGCTGAGAAGGGTTAGTTGGAGAAAATAAAGTCAACTCTACTCGAATAAATTACAACAGTTAGACCTGGCAGACCAGGACATCCTATTCTTTTAAGACAGGATGAATGAAATCCTTAAGTAAGCTAATGCAATAGTGACCCTTCTAACTGCTACTATTCATTTATTTCATGAATGGCTGTATATTTAAATCAGATTTTCTCCCATCTCATTTAATCTTCCTAACAACTCTGTTGAGAAAACTGATTCAGAAATGTTCTCTCTTGCCTGAAGTCACCTAATGGCAGGTCTCACTGAGAACTGCAGTCAAAACTTCTTAACCCCAACCTTGTGCTCCTGCCATTACACAATACTCCCTGAGACCTCACAGAAACCACCAGAAATTTTATAGACCAGGGATAACCATAACAGTCCCTGCTTTTTCCACCTTGTCCAAGTTGTAGGCCCGCCTTGCCCAATCCTGAACCAATTTTAATAAGGGCTGACAGCACATCAGTTAGTAAGTTCCAACACACTGCTGGTGGGATGTGGGCTGACATCATTGGCTTTTGTCCATTCTCCACTCTGTGTAACTGGTGGCCCTTTCTTGGGCAACCTCCTTGACCCCTACCTACCTGTCAAGGTAAGATTAAAGGCCTGTCTTTGACACTACATAAGGTCCCTTGCATTAGTCAATTATTGTCCTTACCACATTGTTTCTAACAATCTACCTATGGGTTTTTTGTTCTAGAACTCTGACCTTGGACCTATATCCTCAACAATGTGGGAGGTTTTGGTTGAAACCAGATGGCCCAAGATACTGTCACCACTTTAACTTAGAATAGTGTCACATTCTACTGTCTCCTGCTGCTCTGTCCCACATCTGCTCCAATCCTTTAGGGGGCAACGGGCAGGTGCACCAGTAGACAACATAAATTAGATCACTAGCCATTCCTGTTGGGGCCACCCTAGTAGCTGAACGAGTTCCCCAAGTGACATCCTGCCCAATCTAGTCTGTCTGCCAAATGATCTCAACTAGCATGTGCTACTGAGGTCCCAGAATGCTCTAGGTCAAATCTTACTAAGGTTGAACTTATTAGGTACCAGCTGTCTACAGGATTCAAGATCCTATTAACTTCCTTCTACTTAAAATAGTAATTCCACATTTGGAATGAGGATTCTTTCCTTTGTTTTAGGACAAAGTAGACATTACCTGAAGATCTCGCAGTGTAGTCTCATGCGTGTGGGCATCACCTTCAAGAACTAAATGTCGGTCAAGCTTTTCTTGTTCTTGCTCCAGCCAAACTTCAAATGCCTTTAGGTCTCTCTGATATTCTTGGTGCAGGCGAACGAGTTTTTCAGACTTGGTTACTGCTTCCTATAATTAGCATATAAAGTTATTAAGGCAGGAATACATTACTGCATGCAGTATCAATGTGCCGTAAAAATTCACTTTGGGAATTTTAGGAAAGCACTTTTATTAAATTGTTGGAATATGATTGATTTCCAAGAAGAATGAACCTTCCAGATTTATGTAAAAAATGTAAAAACATATTGTTTCAGGATTAAAAGGGATCTTAAAGATCATTTTGTTGAATTAACTACCTGATCTCTGAATTCCTTATAAAATGTAACATAAACATGTCAAAAAATGAATTAACTTTTCTTTTCATAAAAATTCACTTTTGCTAATGAAGGAAATTGAAATTCTAATATTGTGTCTTAAATGAGGATTTGGACTCACTGTGGATTTAATTTTCCAGGTCCTTTGTCTAATAAAGTAGAATGTGCTCTGAAAAAGTATTTTTATTTTCTTTGTGAGGCCTAAATGAAGAATGATAAATATTGGTAATTATTTCCTACTTTAGAAAACTCTCATTACCGGGCATAGTAAGGCATTTATGTATCTTCATTATGAAGGTGTTCAAAATTTTTGTTAAATTGGTACATTTCTGGGAATTTTTAGTTGAGAATTAACATTACTTTAGTAACTATAATTTATTAACAATATTTGAAGGTTTTTGTGTGGTTTTGCCAGTGATTCCTTTAAAATATTAAAATTCACTTTGCTTCTTTTATTCTGTTTTCCCAAGCATGTCATTGTCAAAAATATAAATGAGTCTTTGAATAAGCACAGCTCCAAGCCCTCTTATTTGGAACAATAGGAAACAAAGGTACAAGGAACCTGGTTAGCCATACCTTGGCCCTCTCTTTGATTGCTCTGTATCGTTCCTGTAGATCCTGGAGTTCTAACTGGGTGACATAGTGTTCCGTCATGCCAGCTCCTTTGACTTCAATGGTCTCCAGCAAGCTGCTGTAACTCAGCACTTCTTCATTTAATAACTAGAGAGCATTTTTAAAAATAAAGGAGTTACCCATATACCATGATATCAGTGATACTGCTAAAATTAAGATATTTTAACTGTACAGTTGACAAGTGACCTTAGGTTATCTATCTGTGTATCAATCTATTTATCTGATATAGATGCGTATGTGAGTGTACGAATGTGTGTTTGTGTATGTTTGTGTGTGTGTGTGTGTTTGTGTATTTCATACATGGTTTAGAACTTTCTTTGAGCTACGAATTACCAATTAACTACTGTATACTTCTACTTGTATATCTCAAACTAATTATGTCCAGAAATGGGCTCCTGATTTCTATCTCATGCCCATTCTGCTCCAGCCCCACCAAATCCCCTTCACCTTCAGTATTTTTTCAGTGAACGCCACCACCCTCCAGCCAGAGGTCAATCCAGAACACTGGAAGTGCTTCAGTGTCTCCCTCACCCTCCACCACTGCATCCTAAAGGAAATGCTGTTAGTTTCACCTCCCCATTATATCATCACATTGGTCCTCGTCTCCTGCAGGTCCCCTAGCCCGTGCTGCCCTCGTCTTTTGTTTAGACTGTTGCAGTGGTCTGCTAGGCAGATTCCTGGCCACCAATTCTTGCCCCATGCCTATTCCATACTCCATACACCAACCTAAGTGATAACGTTTGATGTCTGAAAATGGAACTATGTTACTACCTAGTTTAAAACATTGATTACTTTCCCAAGGCTGTCAAGGTCAAGTGGAAAATCCTCAGGGCAACGACATGGCGATGCAGGATCAGGTTCCTGCCACCCCTCCCAACGCACCTCCCAGCACCCTCCCTGCTTACTCTCTGCTCCAGCAACGTGCTGCCTTTTATATTGTGCAGGTTTTTGCCTCCTTTAGGGCCTGCAGACATGCTGTTTATTCTGTCTAGAATGTTCTTTTCCCAACTCCTCCCAAGACTAATTTCTCTGCACTCAGTCCTTTAGAGCATAGTTACATGCCTGCTCTTTCAGAGAGGCCTTTCCTATCTATAGGGTAAATGATAGACATAGCCCTATTCCCCACTCCCTGTGCATACCAGAGATCCCCCTGCCCCCTGGGAGACTACCCCTGGCCAAGGCAGCTATCCAAGGAAAGGCACGTCACCTTCAAGAACAAACAGAAGGCTGGAGGGAGCAGAGCAGCAAGTAGATTAACTTATCTGCTCAGCCAGATCTCCAGTGTGCTCTGAGTTATGTGAGCTGGGCGAGGGTCTGCATGTATGCCTGGAAATGATTTATACCCCTACTCTGATCTGTTCACTATATAACTGTTGTATGTACACTGTGGTGGTGCAGATATCTGACTGACTGGCTGCTGTCAGTGTCTCTTTTAAGTCTAAACAACCATCCTCTCTACCCACTGGACCTCCGGGTGAGTTCTTTGGAATAGGCAGACACGGGATTGCCTTCACTGATTTGGGGCTCCTGTGTTACACTGTCCCTCACCCTGATTCCAAACCATCTATATTAGCCATTTCCAAATTACTCTCTCCCACACCATGCTATTTCTTTTCTTCATTGCTTAACAGTTATAATTATTTATTTATTCAAACATTTATGGCTGACTGTGTGTGTCCCCACCAGAATACAATCCCTTTTATTCACTTAGAATCAGGCACAATGCCGGCATGTAGCAACTTCTCAATAAATATTGATTGGATAAATGAATAATGTAATCAACTAGGCAATTAATTATTATAACAGATAATAAATGTAGATAATCATGATGTGGATAATTATATTACTTTACAGATGCATAAATGAGACTCAGAAATATTAAGTGACGGTGCAGGTCACATCAAATCATTTAGTCATTCAAATAACTTTTACTCAGCATTTGCTCTGTGTTAGACAGAGAGCCAAGAGCTGAGGTTATAAAGAAAACTGAGCATCTCTGTCAACTGAGGGAGCAGGACATGTAAATATGCATCCTATGAAAACTGATAAAGAAATAGGAACACAGGGCTTTGAGAGGACAGAGCAACTAATTAAGCCTGGAGGGGTGGCGGTGATCTCATAACAAAAATGACTTCTGAACCTATTCAGAAAGTGAGCAGGAGGTTTGCACCTCTGTGAAGAGGGAAGAGAGAAATGGAGTCTTGAAAGATTGTGGCACATTCAGGAAATAGTGTGACATTCAGGTGGGAGGTGAAAGAGTTGGGGACGGTGGAGGAGATTATTAAAATTCTTACAAAGCAGGTGAGGGGGGCTGGAATTATGCTGTAGACAGTGAGACGCCTACAGGGGCTCTTAAGTAGGGAAGTGAGACATTCACCTTCATATGAAAATAACAGACATGGAAACAAGAAACAAGGTGAGAAGTTAGGAGCCTGTTACAATTCAGGTGCAGGACCTGATGGTGCGAGGTGAGGATGGGAAGGAAGGAGGTGGGGATGAGGAGGTCAGCAGTCTAGTGCACTCAGTGTGCGGTGTTGCAAATGAACAGAAACCGAGAGTACAGGAGCTTGAAGGATTTCTGTGTAGAAGATAAGCCCTGCTTGGTAAGGCTGAGATGGAACTGGCCACCTAATGAATATGCCCTGGAGCAAGGCTGCAGTGCAGCCATTTCTCAAATCAAATGGCTCCAAAAATGTGTGTTTAAATACTACCATCAATAAAAAGATTTTAAGAACAATTCCTCAATATTTATTTCTTTACTTAAAAGATCATGTACTATCATACCAACATAAGCATTTTTTTTAAATGCACAAAAATAGTAATACAAAAGGATGGGATAAAAAGCAAGCATTTTTACTTCTTAAAGATAGCAGGCTGAAGATATTAAAAGATATTAGAAGTTGCTAAATTTTAAATGGTCTATATCATAAACCATGGGTCTACACAGTTTTCCCAAAAGAGAGAATTTTCACTCACTAATAAAATAACCACAAACAAATTCTGGCTAAAGAAGCCATTAGAAGTTACAGTATAAGCCCCAACTATAATTACTTATGTGTACAGCCCTGGCCTACAGGTAAGCGCATCTCTGACTGTGGCATTCTAAGGAAGCCTGTGGGAGAACAAGGGTCACCTGAAGCCCGGCTCTAACCTTGGCCTTGCCGAGGGCGGTGGTTTTCTCCCGCAGCTCCGCGTACTGCCTTTCAGACTCATGCAGGGCGGCTTCCACGCCGTCCATCCAGCTGGAAAACTGCCGAACGTCGTCCTGATAACTTGTCCACTTAGAAAGAGCTCCTTCAAGTTGACTGAAAGGGATTTGAAAGAAAAGTAACCTGTATTGAGAATCTTCTGAGTCTGGTGTCCACTCCAGCCATCAGGGGGTCCAGAGATCAGGAAAGGGTCAGGCTTGGGAGCACGCAGGCTGGCCAGGGCTGATCCGATCCGAGTCGAGGTCTCTGGCAAGGACAGCCTCAGGAAGCAGGGGACAGCTAAATCCAGGCCGACAGGCAGAAAAGTGGGACTGGACATAAACCCGAGAGTCAGTGACCAGGGGACACAGACACAGGGAGGAGCTTGAAGGTAAAACCAGGAGAGATCCCCTGAGATGGGTCTTTTCTGGAGCCAAAACTCTGGGCAGGGAGAGAACCACCACTGAACTCTTATCAAGTTGAGCAGGACAATCGGAGCAGGAGAGAAAGAAGGGAATTACTAAAGGAAGGAAAGAAGACCCGAGGAAAAATAAGCACAGTAACCATCTCACCTGAGACTTAAAAATCAGAAAATCACAGTGAAAAACAGGCAACATTTCCTGACTGGTCTAATTATTAAAACTTAATTATTTCTCTTACAGACAAAGTAATTCCTTGTCTTATTAGGCATGTTATATTTTTAATTCCATCAATCGTTTGTGTCAAATTTTCCACCATGTTTTGGGGCCTTTTGCAGCGGACATTGTCAGTGAGCCCCCCCGTATGTACTGCCAGACCATAGCAGTGCAGATGCCGCCACTGCACTCTGAAACCTCTTAGCCCGAGGACATTCTCTGGTCCCTGATGTCCTCTCAGCTCAAGGACAATGTAGACAAGCAGTGAGGGGGGTGGAGGGGGTTGTTGCCCCCTGGGGTGACCATCAACTGCCCTCCTGACTCATGGGAGTTTGTTCACGAATACCCCAGCTTCCCTGCCCTTGGGGATAACAAATTTTGAAAATTTCTTTTTGTCCTTCACATTGTATTTCTTTTCCTCTAGGTCACAAAAAAAAAGACAAAAAAAAAAAAAAAAAGAATATTTTCTCAAAGTAAATATGTCTGTAATATAATTTGAAAATAGCCTCTTAAATGGCTATCAAGCAAGTAATCACATTTGGGGTTTGTTCTCTTTTATTTTTGTAAATCATCTATGGTTGAGTGCAGCTGGGGTCAAATCGTTCAGCAATGCTTAGACAAGGAGGCTCACACCCACAAAGCGTTCTAAAGTTTCTTGTAGAGAGACGGAGACATAATCATGCCAGGCAGATGGAGACTTGAGAAATTTCTAGAAAAAGAAATTCTGTAAGTTAGAAATATTTCTCTCGAAAATTGCGTACCTCAAGCTTGAGCATCCTGCTGTCCAGCACACTTTTGTCCGATGTCGGGTGGCAGTAAGAATCCAGAGTGTGAATGGCATCTGTCATCCAGTCTTGCAATTCTTTAATCCCGAGAGAGAACTGATTGTGTTCTGCAGCAATTCTATCCATTCTTGACACTTTCTCCTGGAAATGACAAAAATGGTTTTCTGGCTGTCCACTTCACAGAGCCTTCACAGCCTAGAGCTACTCACATTATAAAGCTAACAGTTTGTTTGAAACAACCACAGTCAGTCATAGCTGTATATGCTTCACAGGTATGATGTAAGTCTGTATTAAGTTGATGAGATGTGAAATGTCTTCCTAAATAGTAAACATATTAGAATAACTGAATCGAAAAGCAGAAAAAATTATTTTAATGTCCCTCAACTTCTTTATGACAATCACGATTTGTTTTTTTTAATCAGTAAAATTTCTTCCTAATGCCTTGTCTGGCAGACTAATAAAAGCAGTTTCCAGCTTTTGCATATCACATTAGGCTAAAATGATACTACATACCCATATGTCCTATATGGTAGCCAGAGTTCTAAAAAATTATAATCTGAGATTTTGTAATATCCCTAAATTTTTAAAGTTGTGACCATTCATGTGATTTTACTTATTAACTACAGGTCATATTCAACACAGTGAAGACATTATAAGAACAGTCTATAGCTCTTAGAACATTCAAATATCTATTACTTGTTGGTATCTACCTAAATACAATGAAATAGAAAGATGTCCTTAATTCATTCTAACTTTAGATATGTGCCAGGTGCTCTAAACACAGAAAAAAGCAACATTCATAAACTAAAGATGGGTAAACATGTGTTTAAACATCGACTATTTACTCCAAGACCTATACTAATGTGACTAGCTCAATGATGTTTTGTTGAAGATTCAAATTAGCAGACCAGAAGCAAATCCACACTAAAATAGGTGAGCATAATTTAAAGAAAAATCGTGGTAGATTCCCTACATTCTAAACATGTGAAATTAACAATATGGGGAATAAATGTTACAAGCCACATGAAGCTCAAGATAGGCTTGCACCATAAAGTTCAAGATGGGTCTGCATTAAACCAGCTGAATGCTCTAAATGAGGTCATTATGGGATTCCATTTACTTTTTTCTAAGCTATTGAAAAGAGAGATAATCAGTTATATGTGGCATTGCCAATTTTGAGCTCTGCTCTGGAATCTGAACTGAAACTACCAATAAACACATCCTCCACTACTATGAGTATAATGAATAAAAGAAATTTAGACAAATTTTTAAAAATTACCCTATACTCCTATATTTAGTTCAATAAAATTTAAATTGCCCTGAATTCATGTTTTTCTAAAGCAATTTAATCTGAGATTCTTCAGAACAAAAACTCTGAATTTTGCCGTAAGTTTATGCTCTGAGTCTTCAAAATCAAAGCACTGGAGAACATCATTTCAAGATTAAAAGGAATATTTTGTGCAATAACAGAGACTGAAAGTCTCTTCCATCTTTGAAGTCTCCCGGGTCTTTGCAGAGAACCACATTTAGCTGGTGCAACACAAATGATTAATTCAGATTGCAAGCTGGAGACACCACACCGACGGCATGTCAGGAGGGACACCCTGCACGACCTACCACACCTCCAGGTCTGCAACATCAGAACCACACTCACACACAGCACGCACCAGGCGTTACCTTTGTTAAATTGCTTAGCGCTAGATACTGAGAAGACAGCTGCGACACTCTGTGCATAAAGCTCTTGCTGGCAGCTTGTCCTTCCCACAGCTGCTGAGCTTTCTCTTTCAGCCTGTTGAGCTGAGGCTCGTAGCAGTGTATTTCCTCAAGGACAGACTGAAAAGCACAAGCAAGTTACTATTCAGAGGCTGGGGGAATGCACATCTCGGGCGAAGCTATGGCCTGGAGAACATGGAAATCAGCATTAGCAAGCAATCGGTGTACCCTGAAGGCTTTATCAATTCCAAGCTACACACAGTGAGCACGACAGGAAGGAAACAAAGCACACCCCAAAGGAAAAGCAGAAACATAAAATCGGTGCAAATAGGGAGAGGATACACTCCATGCGTCTGAAAGCTCGTTCTACAGAGGAGGGTATGAAGCTGAGTGACTCGGCACCGGGGGCCTCATCACCTGCAGCTTCTGCTGCTCTCTCCTCTTGGCCGGCAGATCGTAGAGGCGATTGCTGCTCTCATGGACCATCTTCTCGGTTTTACTCAGCCAGTCCTGTACAGGCTCAGCACTCACTTCAAAGTCCTTCATTTGGATCTTTAGATTCTACAAGGTTTTACAAAGTGTCAGGGAATTTAAAAAAAATTTCATAGCAAGTCCAAAGTCCTTCACTTGACTTCCAAAACCCACCCCAATATAGCCTCCTCCCCTTCTGGAACATTCCTTCCTCTACCTTGGCACTCGTATAATTTTTAAATATCCTTTAAGAACTTTTTATGGCTCTACTTTTTAAAATACAATATTTGCTTTCACAACTAGATTACAACCTCCATGAGGGGAGGGCCTGTGTCTTACACTTCCTGGGACACACCATGGTACCTTGTAGGAATATAAATAAATGTTAGTAAACATTCTGTTGATTTTGACTAATGATGGGACAAGAAGTCACATACATACATCATTTACATGCTTATTATGTTTTTAGAAAACAGTTTTTTTCTGATTTATAAAGAGATAAGAAATACCAAATAGTGTCATGTGCTTATCACATAAGAATGTTGTAAATACTTTCATAGATACTGTGTGGGTACCAGTAGCTGTAAAATGCACTTGATAAAGTTTTATATGGTACCATTTCGCATTAGCAAAGGTGTCTACATCCACTCTTTATTACTTAACAAGTCCTAGATTGATGTAAATTTGAATTTGTTATTTATGAACCAATTAAAGGCTTTAAAATTAACCAGAACTTTAGGTCATTTTGTCAAAGAGCAAGTCCGTAAAAGTTAGCTGAAAAATCTCTGTAGCAAGGACCAATGTAATGTGTGGGAGAAAGGCTCAGGTTCCATCTGTATCTGGTCCAGGATGTCTACAATGTGGGGAGAATTATGTCTGCCATGCTCACCTCTGAGGGAGATGGGTTAGCTGTGGGAATGCCCTCGAAAGTTAACACTGCCTCACAAATGTCAGTTATCAAGGCAACTCCTGGAGTATTCTACTAAAATGTAAGCTTCACAAGGGAGGGATTTTTTTCCTGTTTTATTCTTTGCTGTATCCCCAGAATCTAGAAGAGTCCTTGGCAAATGGAAGATAGTCAACAAATATTTGTTGAATAGTTAAATAAATTCATAAATTCCAGGTGTTTCCATCTTCCTTGTTGCTGGAATCTCATGGGGCCATTGAGCAGGGAAAACTGGAGGACTGTGATCAGGAACTTAGTTTCTACAAAGAAAGGGCACTGAAAAACAGAGTATTAGGGGCTCGGTCAGAGGTCTAGTACAAAAAAAATTGGGTCTTTTTCCAAGGCTTGCAGTCACAGGATCTGAGCAAGGGGCCTAGGTAACAAAAATAAGGATGAGATTTGATATTAAGTTCTAACATTCCTCCTAAACTCCTAAAGTTATTTATATACTTTTAAAAATACTATACAGAGGTGTATTGGTTCCCATTAAATATTCATTCTGCATGTTTTCCCAACTATTTCTCCAATGGTTTCAATGACCACTAACAAATTCTCAAAGCCCCACATTTATAAAACTGTATTTATACCGCATTTTGAGATGATGGGTTTGAACTTGTTTCCACTACTTTCGAGCTATGAGATTATTTGACCACCCTGTGGTTAAGATAAGAGAGTTCCTGTTCCATGGAACGGTTGTGAGGATTAAATGCAGATTTGTTCGTGTTACGTGCCTACAACACTGGTGAGATCTCACTACCGCTGTTCCTGCGGCTCTACCCTCTCTCTTGAGCTTTGCACGCGTGCTAACTGCTACTTTCCTGGTCACTGGCCCCTGAAAATCTTGCAGGCACATCAAATGTAATGCATATTAAACTGAATAAATTTTTGCATCCCCTCCAACACTACTTTTGCTACTATATGCATGTCTCAATTAGTGGCATCACCATTCACACCACCTTCCAAAGTAGAAGCTGAGGATTCAAACTTAACTTCTTCCCCATGCCCCTCATCTAATTAGTTACCAAGTCCTCTTGTGTTTTACCTCAAAGACAAATTCTCTATCCTATTGTTATCACCTTAAGTCAGGCCTTAGTCTCTCGCATCTGGATCATTATGAAAAGCTTTCTCTAGTCTTCCAACTACTTCCTGTCCCCCATTCTGGTTTACACTGTGGTCAGAAAATTTACGTGTTTATCTCCAGCTTAAAGATCTGCAGATTCCTCACTCAGTCTTTCTCAAACAGGCCCTGGGAAAAAATTAAGTCCTAGTGTCCTAAAGCATCCATTCTACATAATGAATTAACTTCTGACCTATGCATCTAGCATAGCACGGATTATGTTTCATCCTTGGGAAAATTGTATCTGGGGTTCAGATTAAAAAACCCTGGTTGAGAGTCAAGGTCAAATTGCTTAGTACACAAGACATTATAGGATCTGGCCCTAATCTTCATCTCCAATATTATCTCTTTTGCTCTTCTTGCAAAATTTCGTGTTGGTGTCAAAGTTCTCAAAGTCCCCCATTCATAGTTGGCACTTATGACTCCCTGGCCCTGTGCCTTCAATTGCTTTTACCTGAAATGCATGTCAGCCTAGGTAAATTCAAAGACCACTTGATTCAGTCAAAATGTCACTTCTCTGGAAACCTTCCTTGATTTCTCCGAATAGAGTTAATGGCGTCCTTCTATGAGTGACTACCACCTTTTCAACATATCTATGTTATTATTGTAATCATCTCTTACATACTGTTTCCCCTTTAGAAAGTAAACTTCCCAAAGCAAGGCAAAAGGTGAACCCTCCTGTATTCTTTACATAGTGCCTGGCACATAAGAGGCACTATTATGTCTGATGTGGATTAAATGTCCCCTAAGACTCACTGAAGCTTAGCCCTCATTGTAACTGTTAAGAGGATGGGAAATCCTTTTATGGTAATTGAATGGTGGGGCTTGAAGAGGTGAATAGATTGTGAGGACTGTGCCCTTGTGAATGGATTGATCCATTCATGGAGTAATGGATGTGGCTCTGATGCCTTTAGAAGGAGAGCGAGTGAGAAGGTTAGTTCATTCTTGCTCAAGCCATTCACCATGGGACACCCTGAATCACTGTAGAGCCACCATCAAGAAGGCCTCATCAGAGGTGTTCCTTGGACTTTGGACTTCCCAGCCTCTAAAACTGTGAGCCATAAGTGTTGGGTTTTTGTAAATGACCCAGTTTCAAGTATTTTGTTATAAGTGACAGACATGGACTAATACAATGTATCTATTCCTAATGGGATGGAAGGAAGGGAGGGAGACATGGATCAAATAAGAGTTACACCTGTCATGAGGAGAAAGGCAGATTAGGAAAACAGGCAATTCCTGACCTACTACCTACTCTTGAGCTTGAACTAGGTAATCTTGCAATCAATGCTAGATATACTACACTCAACAGCTGATGCTTTGGAGCTCAGGCCACATTGCCTGTACGGTTAAGGGTAAATTTCTAGGCACCGCACAATGGTTATCACTCTATTAAATGAAGGATGCCTGCCATGACAGAACAGCAAGAGAGAATTCAGTGGTCTTATATAAAGACCACTGAGGTCTTATGAAAGAACTGGGGAAGCACACATTTTCCTCTTCCTGAATATTAATTCCCTATTATTTTTTTTTCTAACTGCCATTTATATGGTCACAATCAAATTAAACATCTATTCTTCCAGGAAGTGTTATTTTAAAAGGAAAAAATACTCACTCCCATGCTTCTAAATTTTCTTCTAAGAGAAGAGTTATACATAAAAAAGATGATCTCAGAAGAAAAAAATCATTGCATTGTGGCAGTAAGTATGTTATGGTTATAATAAATTCAGCTTATATTGTGTCTGGAGAAAATGAAATTGTGTAAACACCCTCTCCTTGCATACTTAACTCCTAAAAACTTATTACCTGATATTTGCATTAGTTATAATATACCCTCTTATCCATAGCATTTTATAGCCTTACATGGATATTTCTGTTCATTCTTCCAGAACAACTTCCAAAATTGAGGCATTTTAAATGAAATATTAAGTGCCATGCTTAAATATAAAATTGGTTGTTCCTATTGGGAAAATGAATGGCCAAGTCTGTGATCATAGACCCTACCATGCAAGAAGCTGTTTAATTCCTCAGGAAGGCTCACACTTCTAGCACGGAGCTATTTCTTACAGTTATCCAGTTGTCCATTTAAATTTAGGGAGGGATGACCAAAACCACTGACAAGGGGGCTTGGATATATTGAAACTGTGGTTTAACAAACAACAACAAACAAATGAACAACACAGAATATGCCCATGTGGTTGGCTATGTTATACCTCTAGGGCGGATTCCTTTTGGTGGAGATTTGAATGAAAATTTTTCCAATCTTCTTTTGCAGTTGCAGCTTTGGCCTGGATACCGTTAGCTTTCTCTTTGGTCAACAGAGTACTCAAAAGCTCTCCTTTAGATAGCATCATGTTTAGCTTGTGCTGTCCATTTTCACTTTCTGACAAAAACTCCTACAAAGAAAAATATAAAATTAGGCATAATACAATGTTCCATGCTTTAAAATAATTTGATTTTTCTATGTATTTCCCAATGAAATCAAAGAAAAGAAATAAACTATTTTTATTATATATTAAATGATCCAGCCCTTGCTTTAATTATTTATTTGCAAATTATTTTATTCACCAATTTATAAATTATTTTTATTTACCATTCTAAATTCTGCAATTTATTTTATTTGCAAATTATTTTATTTATTAATCTAAATTCTGACTTGCAAACTATTTTATTTACCAATTTGCAAATTATTTTATTCACCAATCTAAATTCTGACTTGTCCTAAAAAGGTTGCGAGGTATTGCATAAAATATTAACAATTGGTTAAAAATAAACAGGAGAGGAAATGAGGACCAAGGGAAAATAAGAGTTGTAAACTAAACTAATCTCTGGCTAAGATTAGTTTACAAAATAAATGCTATGTGGCTCTGTATAATTGGTGGAACTGGATTATGACTTAGGCTCTGAGGATCCTAGTTGCCTAAGCAAACGAGTAAACACAACCAGGTACACAACTCACAGGGCCCATACGATAAAAATAACCATCTGCTCAGCAGAAGCACAACTATTCCTAGAAAGAGATAAGAGATGAGTTTCCCTGGGGAGTCTTAATAAAGCAAATGCTGTTAAATGGATTAGATTACATTATTAGCAGCAGTTTATCAGAACATAACAAGAGTGTTTGATAGTGCTGTCCTTAAGAAGGACAAGTTAATGCCATAATGCCAAAGGGTAATTCAATAAAGTTCACCAAAGTACGTACTTTTCCCATCTGGCTAGATGCTGGGAAGAAATGGGGGGATTCTGTATCCTACAGTTAATTCCCATGAATATTTTCAAGTGTTATAGAAGAAATGGAAAGAAGAAGCTCAAGGTTATTTATTTTTGAAAAAAAAACATAAGTGTAGATATTCTATGTTGTGAGTTTTGATCAAAGGAACCTCACGAGGACATTTGTCTTAATGGACAGCCACCCCCACACATGTAGCTGTGCTGAGACAAGAGGGTCCAAGAAAAGGACCAAAGCTGTCCTCAAAAATAGTACTGGTTTCTGCAACAGAGACGAACAGGTAACTGAGGTTCTAAAGTTCTACTCCCTGGCCTGGAGCAAGCAGAAAAACTTTTAAATGAAACAAACATTCAAAGCAAGAGTTATCCCATTATATTAAGTTATGAACCAAGAATTCAAAACAGCGACGTAGATATGGACAACTGTTTCAGAGCCTGTGACTAACAGAGAAATTTCAAGCACGAACACTTATACATAATTTTCTATATACACATGCCCTCTGAAAAAAATTCAAATTTTATAACCACTCAGGACTGCTAGTATAAAAAATAATCAGACATGTACAACTATGAAAGGCAAATTCAATAACTATGCTTAAAAAATGTTGGTGTTGAAGGTGGTCTGTGGAATGGCACCATGAAGTTGCAATTAAGGGAAGAAAAGACTAGAAACAAACAAACAAACAAACAAAAAATCTATCTGCAGCTCTGTCTATTTTACATACCAGTTCTGTGACTTCTGTAAGAGTCTTTTACTGTATGTGTACATTGGCAATAACAATCTTATAAAATCTATCTGCAGCTCTGTCTATTTTACATACAAGTTCTGTGACTTCTGTAAGAGTCTTTTACTGTATGTGTACATTGGCAATAACAATCTTATATACCTGATGTTGTCTTTTAAAAAATTAAATGAGAAAATCCACTTAGAATGCTCAGGCATAATGTTTGTCACACAGAAATAGCTTTTATTATTCCCCAAATCCCTATTAATATATAAAGATAGCATGCACTTATGTAAATAGATTAGTTTTTCTTCATGTACATAATCAGCCACTTCAAGCAGGGATTTATATGAAATTTGAGTTTCTTAAGCAAAACTTTAACATGCAATGCACCTATAAAAACATCTAAAGACACCTTTTAAATCCACTTCAGCACCATTATTAGAATTAATTGATAACACTCTTACCTGTATTTTCTGAAGACTTGCTGAAACTTCACTAATATTTTGAGGTATATCAAAACATTTGGCAGTAGTGATTTTTGCATTAACCATCCATTGCTGGAAATCTCTGCAGGCTTTTTGAAATCTTTGCTGTAAAATCTGCTCTTTATTCTGGCAGCCCTTGGATGCTTGCAAAGAGAGACTGAAAAAGTGATTGGAAAATTTAATGGAAGGAAAAAAATGGTAAAGTTGATTAAAATAATGTTCATAGAATCAGCAGTTCTTAGAATGTGCACTTACCTCTCTTAGTAATGTACTTAATGCTTAATGAATTATTGATATTATTGAAATTACACCTTAAATCTAGCTTCTAATTCTTACAAAAATATTTCAATTATCAAAAATGTTCATGCCTTACCAATTATATTCTTTAATCAAGCCAGAAACTTTTCCACTGTATATACTCAGGTCTCTCGAAAATCGACAAAGTTCATTCAGCTGAGACTTGAGGTCCTCTGTCCTAGGTTCTGCTTTCTGTAGAGCATCCAGTATCTCCTATTAGGAAATAACAAGACAGAGGAAAAAGCATTTAAATTGGGTAATTTCCATTCCTCATCAAATACATGCATAAATCGATATTATAAATTATTAGTGAGAAAGGAACTAACACAGTAAGTAGATTCAGTAAAGAAATGAGGCCTATTTTCAGAATTCCCTGTTGCAAATAATAGCACTTGGCTAATCTGTATCCTTTTCTAGCCATGGATAGACACTACAGCATCAAATGTTGTAAAGTAGTCAAATGATTAAGTGGTCAAATGTCTTAAATCAGGACCAAAAAAAGACAAAATAGCCTACATTGTTTTAAAACAGTCTGACTAAGCTGTTGGGAGACATGTATATTGTTTAAAGGTGAAAAGAAATCATTTCAAAGAAAATCAATACTCATTCTGGATTAAAAATGTGTGTGTGTGTGTGTGTGTGTATCAATTGATTTTATGTAGGAAAAATACAATACTCCATGCTTTTTTCACATTAAGACTTTCATATAATCCACAGGTCTGATTTAACTACTAATTCATTTATTTCATAGTTTCATTCATATAGCCATCAAATATTTGCTACATTCCTGCCATATGCCAGGCATTTTGCTAGATTCTGGAACCCCCAAATGAACAAAGGTGTGATTTTTGTTGTTGAAGAGCTCACAATTTAATAGTTGAGAGACACACATGAATAACTACAGTACTAGCTATACCTAATTCAGAATAAAGTCTTAGGACTTGACAAGCACACCTTCAAAATTGAGGCCATGGTCAACTGAGTTACGTGGGTGCTTTGCAGTCAGAGCCTTCCTCTTCTAGCATTGTCATAAGGAGCAAATGAGATCATGAATGTCAAATACTTAACACAATTCCTGGCAACACCAAGTGCCTTACTAGTCAAATAAGCAGGAAAATGACTCCCAAGTATTTAACCATTGTGTGGATAATGGTATCACCAAAGCAAAAAAATAAAATACATTAAGGAGGAGGGGCAAAAAGCCGAGTAACTATTCACACAACTGTTGCTGTTATTATTCTCTGAGATATTTATCGAGAGATGGCCTACATTTGCAGAGAAAACACATCCCTCAACAAACCAGGTCTGTGTTGCATTCCTCATCCTGGTAAATGGCACCACTGTCCTCCCACTGATGTAAATCAGAAGACTAAGCATCATTTTGGCCTCTGCCATTTGTTTCCCTTCTCTCTCCATGCAAGAGATACCCTGTCTAGTCTCTTCTATGTCCTCGCTCTTTTAATCACGTACCTCTTTGACTCTGCAAGTTGACTCTCACAGCCCCCACTGACATTATCATCATTTCTTTCTGTAATGGCACAATATCCTCCTAAATTGCCTCCTGTTCTCTAGTTTCCTTTCCTGTGTTATCTCATCTACCAGTGATTTTGCATCTTGGTTCTGTTCCTTCATCTCACCTAGCTGGTCGGGCTGAAATCGTACCTCAAGACTCAGCTCAAATAAGAACTCCTATAAGGATTCTCTGCCCTCCTTCCCACCTCTTAGGGCTTCTCCTCTGGGGACACACAGCACCTTGTGGGCATTTGCTACAATGAGCACCCCATTGGTTTTGCACTTGTTTGTCTTTCTGTCTAGTCTGTGATCATGAGAGTCCTTCCACCTAGACTGTTGTCGTGAGAGCAGAGATGGTGTCCTCTTGGTTTGTTGATTCTTTATTTAGTTCAGGGTCTGGGACAGAGAAGTCTAAAACACTTTTATTTACAAAACTTATAAATAATAACTAGATAGTTTCTCTCTGAAACTCCAAATGCTGAACTAGGAATAACTATTTTATACCATATTGAACCTTTTATTTAAGGGGGAACATTTTAGGAATTAAAGAAACTTACTACATACCAGAAAAGTGGAAATACTGAGATTCAAGCCAGTCACTTATAAATTGGATGACATTAAAAGAAAAAGCTTTTGACCAAAAATTTATACTTAAAAAACTTCTATAACTCCATCCTAAATTAAAGCAATTCAGCAGAGTCTTTCATTATGTAAATATCATGCTATCTACCATGATTTGGTTAAGTCCTAGAATGCATTTTTTCCTTACACAACTTAAGAAAATTGCTATATTTTCAACAGTAATAGCCCAATGGATATTAAGATAAATTAGTTTTGCAAACACAGTGAATAGGACTTTTTGCAACATTATATTACATAGTTTATAGATTATCTGTTTTCATGTTTTAAAGAATTTCTTGAGTACCATCATTTAATTGCATAAGATAAATGCTTATGAAGGTTCATGATTATTATTATGATTGTCAACCATGATAAGTCCTCTGTAACAGCAAAACAATGCCATTTCTTGAGTACCATCATTTAATTGCATAAGATAAATGCTTATGAAGGCTCATGATTATTATTATGATTGTCAACCATGATAAGTCCTCTGTAACAGCAAAACAATGCCATAAGAACCCTGGCAAATCTACTATTTTGTGAACATTTTCCTTAAGAACCCTGGCAAATCTACTATTTTGTGAACATTTTCCTACACATTCATTATAATTGAAATACCTCCATTTTGGGATAAAATGCCATTATTAGAAATAAAAGAAAATATGAATATTGAGAGGCAATGTAGCATTTTCAATGAAAGCACTGGCCTTGGAGCCAAATCTGGAAGTGGATGTTAAGCAGAGGGCTCTCATCTCTGAACTGTTAGTGCAACTGAAAACCCAAATTTACTATTGCATTCTCATATGTATTTTTATAGGCCTCATCTATTATTTTCACTAGCAGCATCAATGTAAAAAAATAGCAATAACTGAGAACAATAATGTAATCTAGGTACAATTTCACTCATATAAATGGAATGGGAAAAAAAGAGAAATGAAAAAGAACCAAAGCAGTGGAACTGATTTTTTCATATTGGACTACATGAAACAATGACCAACTTCTTTGTACCTGTTTTATAAAACTAATTTCTATGTTTTATTCTGGGGCATAAATGTAAAGGAGAGGAAATGCATCAGAAAAACAAAAACTCTAGAAGCATTATAAATAAAATAGCATAAAGAGATGATTACAACGTTTTATTTTATGATGTGCTGCATTTGTTTCAAGCACTTTATTTAAAACAAAACAATGCCGCAAATACTAAATGACTTTCTTACGGGCTGGAGCTATTTTGAAATAATTATAACATAAATAGAAGCACTGAAGTTTACTTTACCAAACTTCCTTTTAAGGACATCCCTGATTCAGAGCATTATAAAACTGCAAATATTGAAAAGTTTTTCAAAGATACTATTTAACAAAGGAAGGAAGAGGATTTTAAGCTTCTGCCCATTCTTCACTATCCCTTTTATGCCTCCTTTTCTCCCTTTCTCACGTTCTAAAAGAGCTGCCATTAGTTTAAAAAAAAATAGAAAGGCCCGGGAAGGCAACCAGTGAGCGTGACATAGAGGTTCTGTGAACGGGCTGATTCAAGTACAGCTGTCAAAACCACACAGAGGGGAGCTAATCAGGGCAAACACTATCAGTTATGCTTTAGGAGATTACCAAATGATTGCATCAAACTGAAAACTCAGTCATTTAAGTGTTCGAAATAGTTAACTGGCAGGAAAGCAGCTATGACTCTCTGTCTATTTATGCCTCTGCCCACAGGCGAATTTTCAGACTGAATGGCTGAATGCGATATTACAAACTCTTACACCATAGGAATGAAAGCAAAATGTCTCCACTAACAATTAACGTTTCCTATGGTAAATAATAACTTCTTCTCCCACAAGTCTTTAGTTTTACAGAAGTTTGATTTATGAGAAAAGGAAAAAGATCAGACTTTGCAAATTTAATTAGATAAATACTCACTTCTTCCAAGTTTGAATGTTGCATGTTTTTAGTTAGCAAGCATTTTTTTTTTTTTTT